AGAGAGAGAGAGAGAGAGAGACGTTGACACCAGTTTTTGACTCAACAAACCGTTCGATGAACTCAAACAGAAAAGTGCTTAACATAGAAGTTGTGTGTTTCGTGGAGTCAAACAACTTTGCTTTTTGATCATCTCCTTCTAAGCATCTCTAGCTGATTCCTCAAAACTGGTTAACTCCTTGAAATTTTCATTTTGAGAAGTTAAACTGGGCCTAACTGAACACATGTCCGGTTTAACTCCTCAAAAAATTTACTCGCCGCGTCGGCCGCGGCTCCTTCTCATGATAAATTTTCCCCTCACCGCGCGCCCGCCGGTCTCCTCGCTCGGCCGCATGCACTCTAGCGCCACCCTCCTTGCTTCTGTCGTCCATCACGCCTCACCACCGACACCCTGTATCACATATCGCTCCTCCACCCCACTTCAATTCGGTCGCTAGTCGCCGACGCCACTGGAACTAACGCATCTACGCATGTCACTGCTATTGCTGGACTCGACGCACGTAGGCCCCTGCGTCACCTCGCGGTATGCTTTCCACCTCTCGGCGATCACATCTCGCCATTCGTCCGACTAATGACACATCCTCGTCCGCCAGTCGGCCAAACTAAGCCCTTGCCCAGCAACTCGTCGGTTCGCCTCTGCCGGTCCTCAATTGTGATGAGTGTTGGCAGCTGGTGGTGCTGCTTCTGGTCTCGAAGACTGAAGAACATCCCGGAAGGGTTTTCTACAAGTGTGAAATGGAAAATTTGAGTGCAATTTTATGTGGTTTTTCTTTGGTTTCAAAGTTTCAAAGCAATTTGAGCTCATTGTATTCTTAATGTTATGCAAAAAGGTTGCATGTTTTGGTTTTTGGAAGAAAGAACACATTGATCTTTTGATCAAGAGAGGTCTATTGGATGTTGGTGCACCAGTCACAAGAGATGAGATTACGGAGTGCAATATCCAAGTTTCAGGGGGCAGAGAAGAAACAAGTGTGCAAGCTAGAGAAGTCAATAGAAAAAAGCAAAAATGTTAGCAAAGAACATAAGGAGATGGAGAGAGTATTGACTCGACTTGCAGGAGTTGTCAAGGAAGTTGTGTCCCTATTGAAGTGTGTAATTTTTCCTGTCGTTTTATTTGGACTAGTTCTCCTAGTGAGGAATTGGTAAAGTATGTGTAACGCTCAATATGTGGTCCTAGTCCTCACGAAGAATTTGCAATCCTTTTTTAGGCTAGAAGCACACATTTGTCTCCCCAGCATATGACTTCATAGTATACATTTATTGTCATATGCCAGTGCACAAGGTGAAGATCACACCAAATATAACTACACGTGAATAACAGAGTTTAAATAAGACTGAAACAATAGGGAAAATGCCAATCTCATAATATAACACCATTCAAAGGTCAACATGACCCAACATGACATCATTAATGCAGCGGAAGAAACACGCGCCCGAGCAATAGAAACAAATGTTGCCTAAGAGGCGAGATAAATAAATGACGACCACCCTGTAATCCCAGGCTGCCAACCGGAATCCTGATCTTTACTAGTCGTCGTCAAATAAGAATTCCATGTAAAGGGGCGTACGCGTATTGCCGTGTTAGTGTTCCATATAGCCCACAATAGTGCACATATCCCTATCCGAATATGTTTAGTTGTGTGTATGTCTACTCCACGAAGCCACGTCCCAAATAATAATCCCAATCATTTTATAAAAATATGATTTCACTTCATTCAAAAATAATAATTCCAGACACTTATAAAAAAATCACTCATTTTAATTAATTGAAAAATGATTGAAATACTGAAATTTAGACTAATTTGAAATGTATCTGAGATTCATCTTGTTCTAAAGGTCTCGTCGCCAGGAATTCAAATATATAAGACATTTCGAAAACAGAA